TGAATTAAATCGAAAACTTATCCTTATTTTGGGAAATTCAATTGCAAAGATATATAAACAAGTTGAGAAGAATTCTATAATTGAACATATTTATTATGTGATACTTAAAAAAGCAAAAAATTATAACAGATATTCTCAGTTTGAGCATATTTATTTAAAATTTTTCTGGTTGAAATGTATTTCATAGGTGCTACCAAATAGAGATCGCCGAAACACATTTAAGAAAAAATGATTATTTTGTTTACTGCAAACCTACTATTATAATTGTAGTTCCTAGAAAAATGCGTCTCATTATTTTTTAGTAGAGTACATTTTGCACACCCTCAAATGTTTATTGTTTCCTATGTTCATTGTGTTTCTAGGTTACATTATATTCATATACCTTCATTTGGTTATATGAAAAGCTGCATTCAGTTTTACTGAACTTGTCTAACCTTGCCATAGCAGTTGTCAATCACCATGCTAATTTGACCATAATTCATGGTCAATGGTCAAAATGCAGGTTTTTCAACAACAAAATTATGCTTGATAAATTATTTTTGCATATTCATAGTAATCATATACTTTCTGATCATGATTCTAATACTTGTTTCAAGCTTCAGAGTAATGTTTTAGTATGATAATACAACCATCGATAGAAGCTTTAGTTCTTCCCCAACCGGTACAAAGTCTATGTCACAACTAACTGGTTAACTATTCCAGATCTGGACAAAAACTTGTAAATCGCAATATTGGATTTTATTTTTTTTAAATATAAAATAAAATATCTTAGAAATTTTATTGTGTGCTCACAATATGGCTACAAAAATAAGTTTAGGACATTACCCTTTCATCCATTGCTTCGAAAACATAAGGATCACCAAGCATTGTCATTCCAATTTTTTTTCCTGATTCAACATCAAGTGACTTGTAACCAACTTTTTCATTACTGATAATTGATTTTTTGCTTTTTGTCTTAAAGATAATAAGTGAATGTTTATTTAAATCCTCATTTCAGCTAATCTGTGGAACATCTCATAAAAAAAATAATGTTGCACGCTTGCACCTGATGATATTTAAAAAAACAATCTTTGATTGCCAACATTCATAGAGACTTCAAGCACTCAACTATATATATTCTCAATAGTCGAAAGATTTGGAAAAACAATATTTTAAATTAAATACGCACACTTGTCACTTTTTGGAAACAAGGTTGAAATCAATATGTTAGTCAACACTGGCTGTGGGAAGCTGTTGAAATTGAGACAAAAGTTGGATTTCGAAAATTAATGCTATCATTGGAGTATGAAAAAAGTTTTTTCATTGCATGAAAACTTTCCATCAGTCAATCAAGAAATTTTACATCAGTGTCCCCAGCAATGTTTTAGTAATAGAGTAACATAGAGTGACTTAAGTGTTTTTTAATTCAAAAATCTCACTGATGTCCTATGAAAATATCTTCCTAGATATTTCACTATGATTGATTTCACTCGCCCCAGTTGTCCAACCAAAATTATGACATAAACATAAATATCCATGATTGATATGGATGAAAACTTCTTTTCAAGAACATCATGTGTGAAATCAATTTGACCATCTTCTTTCACTTCTGTGATTGTGATGGGCAAGTCTAAACAAAAAGAATCTAATGTATAAGCATTTGACGCTTTCAAAGTATCATCAATTAACTACACTTTGAACAGATCTGCATTAGCAAAATAAAAACTTCAATAAATGAGAGAAAACACATAGTGGAATTTAGAGGGGTTTCAGCCGTAGATCCAAATAAAAAGCATTTTCACTTTTTATTAGCTTTAACATTTCTAACATATTATTACAGTAAACAAAAACTGTCAAACAACATTTTTTGATTAGGATGATTGTTTTTGATTTCTAGCATTTACCTTTTATATCAAATTATTCAGACATTAGACACATTAAATCTGATCTACGACCCTACCATGGATATCAAACTCATTGGTTCATGCACACTTTAATAAATACCTGAAGAGGCACTCTTCTTTTTTATATCACTTTCGTCTTCGCTTTCAGAGTTAGCAAGGACATTGTAGGATGCCGTGGCGGCGCGTCAATAGGGCCAACCGGGGCAATGCCCCGGTTGTTTTTTCGGTATAATAAAAAATATTCGAAAAATACCTCAATATCGGTTGCACAGACTGTCTACACTAGCCATATTCTCCCGACATGGTTCATTTTTCGCTCGCAAAGCCTTCGCCGAACGTCGACGGGGCGACGCCGATTTTGCCCCGGTTGCTCATTGTATATCGTATTCTCTCTTTTATCTTCCACTCGCCGCGTTTGTCTCGTTTGTTTTCTGTTTCTTTTACTAAATCATCGGGGCCGATCGGGGCTAGCCCCGAAATTATGACGACACAATGCCGACGTTTCTCACAACAACGTGTTGACATATTCACGCATTCCTTCTCGTTCGTTGGTTGCTTGAAGAGTTGATAGTTTCATCGCCTTCGTTTTTGTCGCTTGTTTCGCTATTTGAATCAGTTAGAGACCTTTAGTCCATTTGCTTTCGATTTTCCACATTCCTTTTGAGCTCCTCACTTCTTTCCGGCTTCGCATTTCTTAGCCTTAGACCTCATAATGAATAAGGTTGATGCACTACTTCGCACTCCGTTTTCGCAGCTGCCGCTGGAACAAAAATTAGAGGTACAACGTCTTGGGCCTTATCAACCAAAAAATTGTTCACTGGAACAATCCCATGACGGAGGAAAGCGTCGGCGTACATTCTGCGCAGAAACTTGGTATAAAAAATACGAATGGTTGTGTTACAGCGAGGACAAAAATGCACTTTTTTGTTTGTATCGCCTACTTTTTGCTACCGCCCGTGACTCACGTTGGTGTAAATTTGGTTTTAGAGATCTTAAACATCTTTCCGAACGTGCCAGGGATCATCAATCTTCTATGGAGCATCTGGACAATGCAGTAAAATACCGAACATTCGGAAATGTTAATATTGCAGCATAGTTGGATGAAGGACGCGCGGTTTCTTTTCGTCGGCACAACCAAAACGTCGAGAAAAACCGCCATGTTCTCGGTCGATTGATAGATGTTTTGAAGTTCATTGGTTGTCACGAGCTGTCCCTCCGTGGGCACGATGAACGGGCTGGCTCTTCTAATAGAGGGGTATTTTTGGATATGGTGGAATACACCGCATCCCTAGATACAGTATTGAGAGATCATCTTGATGCCGCAACTGTTTCGAAAGGGACATCTAAGGATATCCAAAATGATTTGCTCGACTCAATGTATAAAATTTATTTACAACATTTGGCTCTGGAAATTGAGAATTGCCAGTTCCTTTCGATTCAGTCTGACGAGACAACTGACATCACGTGCGTTTCCCAACTGGCTGTGATTTTTCGGTTTGTGAAAGATGGTAAACCTACCGAGAGATTTCACAGCTTTGTACCAATCGTTGATCGCACGGCTTGCGGGATATCGGCTGTACTGAAAGAAGTGTTACAGCCTTACAACGCGAAGTCAAAATTGATAGCTCAAACTTATGACGGCGCGGCAGTAATGAGTGGGTCGAAACATGGTGTTCAAGTTTATATAAAAGAAGATTTTCCTCATGCGCATTTTTTACATTGTTATGCACACCAATTTAACCTCGTTATTAAAAATATGTGTCTTGATACCCCTCTCGTCCGTATATTTTTTGCAAATGTTTCGGGGTTTTCTTCATTTTTTTCCGTTTCGCCGAAGCGCTCTGACCTCCTTCGCCAGATATGTAGCCGCCGTCTCCCAGCTTGTGTACCAACACGTTGGAACTTCCAATCACGCGTGGTGCAGGGCGTGTCCGAAATTAGGTCTGAGCTCATTGAGTGTTTCAATGGCATTCAGAGCTCTCCGGTTTGGGACGAACGCTCTGTGAGGGAGGCGGCAGGTCTAAAGCGTCTGCTAGAAGATGGTGAGTTTTCATTTTTTCTCGCTTTTTTCTCCACAATATTCTATCACGTTGATGTATTATACGGCGCATTGCAGTCAAGGCTAATGGATGGAGCGTCTGTGCAGTCGTGTATTTCAGACTTCTGCGATGCTGTATCTCGTATCCGGGAAACAATAAAATACGACGACACATGGAGTGCTTCTTTACGCCGCGGGCAAACAACGCAGCGTTTGATTTTGTCTGCAAAGGAATGCTGTGACATTCTGGTGAATCAAATAGACGATCGTCTGCGCACTGAACACCTTGCCGCGTTCTCTTTGATGAACCCCAAAAATTTTTCAAATTTTGCACGTCAATTTCTCATCCATTTGTTGGCTACTGTCTCCAAATTTTACCCCATGATAAACGTGGGTAAATTGGAAAATGAATTGCGATGTATATACACCAATCAAACTTTTTTGAACATCACATCAACTTGCGCGCTCTATGGGTTCCTCATATATAACACTCTAGTAACTACCTTTGCGGCGTCTGCAAAATTTCTGGACATCATTTTGACGACGCCTATTTCTTCCGCCAACGCAGAGCGAACATTCAGCACGCTGAAGCGTATTAAAACGTATCTCAGAAACACAATGAAGCAAGATACATTAAATTCCTTGGCTGTTTTATCCATTCACAGAGACGTTATTTCTGGGATGCATGACTTTAATCAGCGCGTTATTGAGCATTTTGCTTCCAAGAAACCGCGACGTGTTGCATATATGTTCAAGCAGTAGAAGTCTAGCAGCATATATATCTATGAGTGAGCGACGCATGTCCTTATCTTTGCATTACCTTTCCTTTCTTCATAGTAACGTTTTAAACCTTATTTTAGGTTTTGTCTGCTTTCCCGAAGTTTCTGTTAATATGTCATTGTATTTAACTGGGTAAATATTGCCTTTCCTTTTGAAAGAGGTTTCATAACAAACTATGTCTATATTTATTAATCCCTTGACTTGGACCGGTTTTAAAGACACTTTCTTATCGTTAAAAATTGTCGCTTTTGCCGATTGGTTGTTACCGATGGAATGGTTTTTATACCCATAAGATGATGGGAGAACTTACAGCGCTCATCCTGTCCCCGTAGATGGGGGTGACTTGGTCCCGCAGTAGCTTGCCCCGGTTGTCAAAATGACCACGCGCCGCCACTGGGCCTTCTCATATGATACAGAAACTAGACATGGAAGTATTACTGAAACAGGTGAGAGGGGGCTATTGTTATGTCACTTATCATATCATTATTACAGTTCACGTAATATATTATTTCCCAAGTAGTGCTAGCTTCTTGAAAAGTTTGGAAGTCAAAATTTTTTTTTTCTATGTGGCTTTGTCAAAGCAAAAGGTTCCCAATACCTATTGAATTCGATATATAAATTAAATATTAGGTTATTACCAGGGATGTCCAAAACGAATACTTTCGAAATTCATTATATTCCATCTAGTAAATGTTTGTATTTAATCATAATTCAGAACATTTTTATTCAAAAGTGAGGGATTTTGAGCCATCAGACAAGTAGAACAAAACATACAATATATAAACTGGTAAGGAACAACACACACAAAAAAAACAATGACCTTTTATATTTTTGTCGATCTAGATGTGATCAACATGAAGATATAGTGATTAAGTAATTTTATCAATGAACGCTCCAATAATTTAAAATGTATTCAATATTTCATATTAGCAAATGTTTCTCAGAATGTATTCAAAATAGTAAAATATTCGATTTTGGTCATCCCTGATTTACCAATATATCGCATTTGAAGAATATATTTTAGTTTCAACCGAATATTTCACTCAACCACATTAGGGACAAATGATTTGATCAAACATCATGTGTGATATTAAGTGAACGACGAATAGATGTTCATCAATTATCAATTAAAAGTGACTTAACCTAAATCACCATCTTTGAAATATCAACCAAAATATAGCAACAGATGTTCAATATCAATATTTTTTTTTTATTTGTGATTCATGCTATTTGTTAACAATCTACAAGATATTTATTCAGTTCATTAATTTGTTCTTGAGAGATTCTGACGTCTTCTTATTTATCCTGATTTAGTGGGCTTCTGTGATATTTCATTGTTATTGTTTAGTTGAAGGACCAATTGAGCTTGTAAAGAAAATAGCCAATGGAGAATGGGCTTTTGACAATGAAGCTGTTCAGCAGTTATTATCAAAATATGATCTAATGGACAAACCAGTATTTATTCTAACAGTAGCTGGAAAAAGAAGGATTGGAAAGTCATTCCTGATGAATTTTTTTGCGACATAACTAAAGCATGGTGGTGTAAGTTAAACCAAGACAAAATTAACACTTGTTGTTTTCAGTATCGGTTATAAAATATTTGAAAAATTCTTCTTGACACATGTGGCTTACTTATAATGTGGTTTTTACTGAATACTTTGTTTGTTTGGTTACTTTTGAATATTTTTACTAGATTTTAATGAATAAATATAGAAAATCAATTTGGTTTTGAAACACAAGACTGATTTACCAATTGAAACAGGGTGTATGACATGAATCAATGTTTACTTTTTCAGAATGTCGAATTTGACTGGGAAAAATATGATGAATTTCGAATCAAAGAATGCTTCAAATGGAAACACGGGGAAGACTCTGTTACAAAAGGAATATGGTTGTGGAATCAAGCTTATACAGTTGATGTGCCTGAAATAGGAACTGTAAGTTTGATGGCCAAGTGTGCTAGACTATTTAATTTCTGTATAAAACAACTTTTCAACTCTGCTGTCAAAAGTTCTTTAAGTAGATTTTTATTACAAACATACAAATAGGCAAAGGCCCATTTTTTTTTTGGCCCGGCTAATTTCATTTTATTAATATCGTAATAAGATGTATTTAATGCGTTTTATTCAGAGTTCTAAACTATGTTCAATTATGAAAAATTATGGTAAGAGATCAAAACTGTAATAATATATAATTTACAATAAGCACATACTTACTAACAACTGTTTCTTGAAGCAACAACCTCTGCTTGAAAATAAAAATGCCTCTTTTATACATCTTTACTTCTGGTATAGTATAGAATAGAGTACTACCTCGAAATGCTATCTGATTAGAATATTTCAATATTTAGTGATGTTTCAGAATGTCTTGAATCTTACTGTATGGCAATGTAATTATTTCCTAATAAGCCTTCATAAACAAAAGTCTAACTTTTGCAAGGTGGGAGTACTAATTCTTGACACACAAGGTCTTTTTGACAACATTGATGAAAGTGATGAAAGTAAATTACAGGATGGTGATATATTTGCACTTAGTCTGCTATTGAGTTCAAATTTTATGTACAATGTGAAGAATGAATTGAATGCAAACAATATGGATTGTTTTCGAGTAAGTTTAAAATTTAGTTGTTGATTTCATAAGTGGAAACACTTCAGATTTCATGGTTGCAATCAATTTGCTCTTGAAGTGTTATGAAATTATTATATTTTTCAATGCATTATAAATATCTGATTATGTATGCTCGAAATTTATTGGATGAAATTTTTAAACTTAACTCGAAATACATGATTTTTTGATATTGAAAATTGATTTTAGCATTTCACCGATCACACAAAATTATATCAGAAACATTGGGAAGATGATGACACTGAACTAGAAAACAGTTTTCAGGTTTGTGGTTTACTTTGAATTGAATAAGAATAAAATGTGTCTGTGAACTTGAATTTTCATTCGCTGAATAAAATAAGCATTGTTAAAATGCTGATTATTTGATGGTAATTGATTATTACAGTTTTACATTTCTACATTAACAGTGTGTTGAATTATAGGATATGTTATGTGTATCATGCTAGGAAATCATCATGTTTGGATTTACATTTATGACTATAGTCTACAGGCCTATAAAATTAAAAAACCATTAATCATTAATAGGATTTGACATTAGTTGTGAGAGACTGGGAAAATGATGATGAATATGGATGGGACAAAGGGCATAAACATATGGAAAAGCAAGTGGGTAAATATAAAGTCCTAAAAGACCATATGAAAAAAAGTTATTCAAATATACGTTGCTTCATCTTGCCTCATCCAGGAATGTCTGTAATACGATCAAAGGAGGGAAAAATCAAAGGTGAGTAGACATGAAAGATTTTTTACTATTTAAACATAATAAATTTAGAGCAATTTATAGAAAAAAAAACTATCAAATGACCCAAATTTACTATAGATCTTTTCTATAACAAGAGAGTCAGGCTCAAATATATATGGTTAAAAAGGCCAGAACTGAAAATTTTACCCACAATTTCCGCAAAACCACACCCAGAATCATGCTGGATCTATTGAACGTCTACCGTACATGTGGGTCTAGTGTAATTTCATACCCCAAGTACTTCTCGTGATTGTGGCATAACAATTTTTGCATGAAACATTCTTGATTCGCATTTGTCTATGTCATCAAAAAATTACATCACTTCCACGTAACAAAGCTTGCCATGATTGCTTGTAATGGCGTATGCGACAATAAACTCACTATAGAAGGCTATCTTTGTTGTATTGACATGATTGTGACATGATGATTTTGAATGAAATAGCTGATATCATAAGTTTCATAGGAATGTTAGGAATAAATAAAAGTAATAGCCTTCTAGCGACAACAGTCTATATTAACCACTTGAAATTTCAAAGCAATTGGTCCAGTAGTTATTAAAGATAAAAGCATTTTTTTCACACCAAGAGGAAGAAAAGTACCAACAACAGCAATTTATCAAAACGATCTATAGGTCCACTCTGTGCCAGAAAACATTGAACAACAATATTAACCTTGCATTTTTAGAAATAGAGACATCCTTTGTCAATCAGCTTCTACCGCTTTTCAGCAAAGTTTTAAATCCAACAACAATTAAGCCATTTAGAATCGGTGGAAGTATTCGCAGTGGCAGGTATTGGATAGACATGGCCAATGGTTTCGTTATCGCACTACAAAAGACTGGACGACTTAAACTCAAAAACATGACTGAAGTATGTTCACTTTTATTGATATGTAAATTTCAAGAATGTGTAAACAATACACCAATATAATGCTTAAGTCTTATAAAAGAGATACGGATTATTATTTAATATTTGCTGATTCTGTGAGATGAGGTTTTTGGACGTGCCATCATTCAAATTAGTATCTCTGGAACAGTAAAGTAACCATATATCTCACATTTTTCGAAAGGGTGAGGTTTGGTTGGTATTTGCTCAACTCCCTCGTAAAAATATAATTTATCAATTTTAATAATTTATCGCATATTCTACCAATTATGTTTTAAAAATAATTAATTATATGAACGTTAAGAGGACTATTAAAGTATGCGTATAATGTTTGTTTATATAAAAACAAAATGTAATATCAATATTTTATAATTATATGCCAAAGATTGAAACTTTTCATTTTTTGTATCTAGTATAATTTTATCCCAGTTTTGCTCTAAACCAGACTCTAAATAGGCAACCAATGATATGTGCAAAGTTACTAGTTATTAAAAGGACTGGAACTTTCACAGATATCAGAGGTTTAAATTCCTCTTTAAGCTGTGATACCAACATATTCAGGTTTGTTGGTTTTATTCCAAGGTTGCCAGAGATGCAGGCATTTTAGAAGCAAAGACCAATACAGAAAAAGACAGTTATTAGGGACCACTTCCTGGTCCAATCATTTATAATTGAACACTATATTAATATTTGATTTCGTTCTTTAGAAAAATTTTGTTCTGATAATTCATAATACTGGTTTATCAGAATATGGGTGATGAACCTATTACCGAGGAGGAAATTATGAGGATTCATGAGGATGCTGTAACAACAACTATGGCAACTTTTGATGAAAAGAAAAAAAGAATAATAGGAACAGATAAAACTGACAAACAGAAATTGAAGGAATGTATTTTGAATAATGTGGAAGGTCTTTTCAACAAATACAAGGATAGAAATGCAAAACATATAGTAAGAACATGTTTGACTTACCGGTATATATTAAATTTGAAAAAAAGAAATTTAAATGTTGAATTATGAACGAAATGAATGTTGATACGAGTTTAAAAAACCACAATAAAAAAATATTAAGAGAATCACTAATGTGCCTAGAACTATATATAGATTTATTATTACTTGAACTCTTTTAGCAGGTAACAGCTGGAATAAGGCGAAAACTTGTAGTAATATCGAAAAAATAGGACTCGAAATTACAAAAAGTGAAATGCGATATTTTGGACAAGAAATTTTATTGGCAAGCTTTCGTAGTGTATGTAGTTTGATTGTATAAAACCCAAGAAAACATTTTTCATTATATGTAATTCTATCTATTTTATCTAATTCATTTTTTTATTAAGAAAACCATTGAAGGCAACTTACGGTATGAAATACAAGGGATTGTACAAGCCTATCGTGAGAATATGCTGACGGTAAGAATAATAATGAATAGAGAAATTTTTTTCAATGTTTTTTAATGATAGAATTACGAGGATGATTGTGTGTGGAAGGATTGCTGGACTCCTCGCTGTCGTAGGGTTCTCCACCCGCTGGTCGGTTATGGCTTCCTCCACCATCAGGTAATCATATGTTAGTCCTTTCCATTTCATATCTGGACTATTAAATTAGAATTTAGAATGACTTCATCATAGTAGATTATTATTTGAGTAGGAAATTCGTGCACTAATAATGAGCAAAACGATCGTCATTGCAACATTCATTGCCTTGTTTAGCTTCGAATGTTAATCATGTCCCAGTTACAGCTTCTTTTACCATTCATCCTCATACAACTTGTATGGTTAGTTGGGAAGCTAATTTAATACACTTTCTAGACTTTCATTTTTTATATCGTGTCAGGTTCTGTGGAAGTGACCAGTATTATACTAGATCAGTGGTTCCCAAACTTTTTGAAAAAATGACGAGCCCCTTGAAATTTTTTTTTAATGATCTCCGGCCTTTTGCACTAAAACAAAACATTAAAAGATCTCAAAAAAAAAATCAATGCGCCATAAAATGAAACGAACAAAAGAATATAAAGGGGTCTTACTGCTTACTGAATAGAGCATGAAAAGCGCGAAGAGAGCAGAAGAGCGCGAAACAGCGCAGTAGAGAGGGAAAGAGCGCAGAAGAGCGTGAAACAGCGCAGAAGAGAGGGAAACATTTTTCTCTCATTATTTATTAGCGTCCGTGAAATTTTAAACAATTTAATGGGAAACAGTATGTAGTGGTACTAAGGAAGAATCACAAGTTTATATCAGTAATCTTCAACATCTTTAAATAACCCAACATGACGCACCCTAACCTGGTACACATACTGTGTTCAGGTATTGTGCCATATTGATGCACATACTTCTGGAGCTCCAAAATTTCTTTGATTTTGCTTATTGGTGTGCTCATGTTGCGTCATGTTAGGTTATTTAAAGATGTTGAAGATTACTGATATAAACTCGTGATCATTCCCTACTACTGTATACTGTTTCCCATCAAATTGTTTAAAATTTCACAGACGCTACTAAATAATGAAAGAAAAATGTTTCCCTCTCTTCTGCACTGTTTCTCGCTCTTCTGCGTTGTTTCCCTATCTTTCCCTAACGTGTAAAAGGACAGCGTCAGCTACAGCTCTGCAAGACTGCAGTTAGTGAAATCGGCCTTATTACAGATTTGTTTCGCGGACCCTCCGAAAGTGCTTCACGGACCCCAAAAGGTCCGCGGATCCCCGTTTGGGAACCACTGTACTAGATCATAGTGTAGTATAATTTATAATTTTATACATGCCCTCCAAATTCCACAATAAAGACGAGTCGAATCATAAAGAGAACAAAAATATCTTATATTTTAAATTTTATACTGTCACAATCCAATGAATTCGTTATGAAAGCTTAATCACAGTGTGAACAAAATGGTCAGCAGCCTCGGTGAACTGCAAAGGTCTTACATACTGACCTACACAAATCAATGTATAAACTATTTACTGCACTGCATTTCAATAAAAATCTGTAATATTGTCTGTTCTTTTATTTAAAATCGTTTTGTAGAAATAAAATTTCTCTCTTATTCTTATGCTTTCCTAAGATTATGTCATTGTACAACTTTTTTTATCCATCATGATAAAGGAAGAATTTTTTATTTTTAAAATTTTTGTTAACTTCATCACACTTGGTCATAGGATATTCATTCTGCTGTCAACTTCTTTCTTCAACCTGAAGAGTTTCAACGTAAACATGATGAGTTTCGCATGAAAAGCTTACAGAAATTTGAGGACAATAACAACGAAAATAAACTTTCCGGACAGTTCGAAGCAAAATTAAAAAGCCTTCTGGATAATGCGAAGATTGAATTAGAGGCAAAGAACACATTTAGACGTGAAACCTCTGAATGCAAGGTATCCTATGTTAAAGATTACTGAGCATTTGATGAAGTATTAGTAGTAAACGAATTGATCGAGTTGGTCATTGGCTTTTAATTCATCAAATTAGTATTGAAAATTGTATTGAATATTGTATAATTCATGTTTATATTTACACAGAAATATGTCCGAATGCCATTTTAAATTTGAATTACTTATTGACCTTGTGCAATAATTTTTCATCAAAAACAGGATATTTGGATTTTTTTTTATCATTGTCATACTATCATGGGTGAATAATTCAAGAACATATAATAATTTAAATGCGAAAATTAGTTTTGAAATAAATTATCATGGTGACTAGGTGAAGTTTCATTTTTATAAACATATTGCCTATATTTTAGGATGCTGAACTGAAGACACTCAGAGACTCAATGTTATAAGATGTATGAAAAAGATTTTGAAAGTGTGAGTGTTCGTATTTAGTGATGAGCTGAAAAAATCGTAACAACAGGAACAAACCTAATTCGCAAAAATATAAAATATATACAACACGGCGCGGACATGTACAGAAAGTTTTGTCTTTCCTAAGATAGAGTCGAAGAACTGCAATGAATTATGAAGAAATGATCTGAAATAAGTCTGTAAAATTACAAATATATTCATAGCAATTCAATACAAATGTTATTATTAGAAAGGTATAGGATGAATTTCCATGGGGTCAAATGTCGGGGAAACATCTATTACATGTTACTGACGTAATAATTATTTGCGTGATGTGATGTAAAAAGAATTATGATGTAACAAAACATAAATTAATGTAATTTAATAAATTAAATTAAGTATGTTTACCAGAGAAACTAGACTTTTTGTACCATAATTCTATATCAACTACAGGAACGCAAATGCAATAAAATGTCCAACAACCGGAACGCCACTCTGGTGCGTTCCGGCTACAGCTCACCACTGTTCGTACTTGATATTCGGATTACATTGGAACATTCATACACTATCATTCTTGAACAGAATTCTTTTTAATAAAGGAATTAGGTTCAAAAAACTTCATTTGGAATAGATAGCAATGTGAGCTTATTGTTGAAAGGGAAACTGGTCAGGATTTCAAGTACTTGGAGTTTGAAAAATGAAATTATATTTGTACGCCTTCATTAAAAAAGTGCGAACAGAACATGTACATGAAATGTATATAGTGCTGGACATAACCCTTATTCCTATAGATTGTAATGTGCTTTAACAATTCATAAAAATTTTTTTTTAACAATGAACATTGCTATTGCTAAGTTGATTGTTGATCTCACTTTCAATTTCCTCCACTTTGTGTGTTGTCATTACTCATTTTGTTACATTATATATATATATATATCTAGGCGTTATTCAAATAACATCCACAAAAATTGCTATAAATAAATCTTTAAATTAGGTACCTCAAAAATGATTTTGGGAAACTCAATTTTTCTTGAAAAATTTGCCAAGCACTGATGGCACTTCAGGCAGTACTGTTTTTATTATGGATTAATTGGCTCATATTGTTTGGCTAGAACCTAGAATTTGGTTTCATATTTTTCTGGAATTGAGCTTTGGAGTACACATAGGCTATGTATATCAGAGGTCGACATAGGCCCCACTTGTGTAGAATTGTCCCACAATTGTATCACTTGTTTCATTCTTGTCTTAATTGTCTCACTCCATATGAATAATACAATATTCAACAAAGTTTTATATCTATCCTTACCCCAAACATAGCATGAAACCCACTTCTTATGCTTACCGGTACTTCAAACCAATTCTACCCAATATATATCTACTCTAACTCAGAACAGTGGGACATGTCCGATAACAAATTCGTACAAGTATAATAAAACTCAACAAATGGGACACAGCTTTTTTAATTTGTCAGGTACTACTTTACAGCAATTCCATAAATTAGTTGAAAATTTGGTAAAAATTATATCTTGCTTAATTGAAATATTGAACTGCAGAAAGTGTAGGACATATCTTGAAGTTTTTAAAAACGCATGAGAAGGTACATTTACGGCTCAAAATAATTGTTTTTTCTTCAGCGGAATAATTGATGATTTTCTGCCTAATTTTCTTCAGTTTTGTAACATAAACTCTCATGCTATTTATGTTACCTTAAAATGTATTTGTTAAACCAAAGTATGTGTTAAGTTTTACCTCTGATATCTGTGCTTAATATAAATATTGCACTGTACATTATTGGCAACACTGGGCTAAACAGAGCTGATGGGAATTTGCCTTGTGTTGTCACTCCGACAATTTTTTAACTTTATTTTAATTATCTGATATATTTCAATAACTATTCGCCTCAAAAACTGAGACGTCACTTTGGGGGTAGGGCACAATAATTTACCAATTTGGCAGTTGATAGTTGCTTGTTGTTCTTTGGCAGCACTTCAAGAGATCTCGTCACTCCGTGACGTCACGGAGTGACATAGGTATGTCATTTTTGGAAAATATTATTTTTCTGTACGCGAAGTACTATAATATTGGGTTTGAACTGCAAATTCTTCCACTTTGCCCTCTACTTACTTTGGATCTTACCCACAATGAAACTTGAATGACATGATTGAATGCCAATGGCAACTTTTTAAAACTATCGATGACCAAAATATTTGACCTAACATGTGCCAGTTTTAAACAATATGAACGAACTTATTGTAGACTACAATTGAAAAAATATGTAATCTGTTGGAATGGCAGAATAAATATGGCAAAATGCATCGTTTTGCAATATAATTCGACATTTTTGTAAAAGGCGTAAGTGAATTCAAATAATTCACAAACAATATTAAATCTCAAGTTTTATCATCGACATCTGGATTTTCGTTTATATCCATTTATCGGGTTAACTCATAGGATGCGAAAAATCATGAAATGTGAAAGAAATATGATATGTTTGTCAAAAATTGAAGATACTTCCAATTAGAAAACGCCAATGCGTCACTCATTGTCACCAATAATTATTTTTACGTGCCAACTATATCATAAAGCTGGAAAAAGCAAAAATGATGCAACAACGAGTTTTCGCAGGGACATATTTATCACTGTCTTCTTGTTCTGAATATGCAGACTAAGAGTACTGTGTTTGGGGCCCACTGCTTGTATGTGTGCTTTGCAAGTAGATGCAAGTACTACCTAACAAGAGAGACTTCAACGCAAAAGAAAATGCTTTTCTATGGTTAATAAATTAGATATTCAAATAACAAAAATCGTCGCATGGTGCAAAGATTCTTAAACTGAATTGCATTAACGGATCCTCCAGATTCTGTATTTTGAATTGCCCATACTTTGTCAAGTCACTGCAATAAGATTCCAGATATATAGGAGTGGAATAATTATGTTTGTTTCATGTTGTCTGTGCAACATAGCTTTTTACTTAACTATATAGATTATTAAAGTTAGTGCACTCGTTCAGCATATTAATATGAGGGAGACACAAGCAGAACGACAAAAAAATATAATGTATCCCAATTTTTTGTTTAAATGTTTTGTAATTTCAAACCAACCAAAATAACCAATTTTGACCTAATACAACTAATTGTTCAACATTCTTAATACCATTTTAATGATAAGGAATTTTTGTCACTCTGTGACGTCACGGAGTGACATGCGACTAGTTGGGCCGTATAATTGGGCTGCTTACTGAAAAATGTTTGTTGTACAATAAATTTTGCATAAATGTAGAGATTAATATCTCTAGAATACAGAGACAAGTTATTATAATTGATATGTCATGAAGCTTTTGACGAAATTTGGTTGATATATCGCAGTCATTTTATGCATTCAACTTTTTGTCACTCCGTGACATCACTTATTTTGTCTCGTCGTTTGAAAAATATTTGGTTGAAAGTGAAAAGTGAATTATGGTAAATACATCAGTGTTACTGCTACCAGTTGGCATTATAAAAATAGCAAACCACCAAGACCTTGATATAGTAAAATTGATTAAATGTGTGAAATGTCACTCCGTGACATTGATGGAATTGCTGTTTAGTAGTTTCCTATATGACTGAGCAATTACCACCCAAGTGGCTATTCTGATTTGGCTAAGACTTTCACAAATATCATATTAACGCACCATAGTAAACAAAAAATTTTGCAAGTTGGCGGGGAAGATTGAAACATTCTAAACCAATTGTAGAGATATTTGCTGGAAGGGTCGTCTCTTTCTTAGAATGAAAAAACAAGTGCTATTTCAATAGTGGTTTGAAATAGCGCTTGTTTTTGTCAAGTCCACTCAACATCAGATGCGGCAATCGACTGGTCAATCTTGATTGATGTTTTGACCACCTTTGGTCTATACCATCCTGCTCTCCTGGATTTACTTACTAGACCAGCGTTCTTAACCTTTTTCGGTTCAATTTTCCCTTTCGCGAACAAGATTACAAAATTTACCCCCAATATAGTCATTGGTGATTTATTTATTTATTGAAAATTTCATTAAAAAATTGATAAAAAAAATAAATAAAAAAAATCTTACTCACCAGTACCTGTAGGCATATCGGGATACCACTGGTAACGGTACAAGAACTATTCCAGATCATCCAGTAGGAATGTTACAAAATGCACACTTTCACTGCGAAAAATGTAATGTTACGCATCACATCTGCAAGATAGCGTTACGCCGTTTTGGAGTACCGCTCATAAAAACAACTGCTGATTTAAAAAATACTTTCAACCTAAACATGTTACGAATTAATGACCCTTCTAATGACACTTTTCAAATCTCTATAGTCATGCATGTTTTTTAATCAACTTGAAATTTACCAATTTTTATGAAGTTTGTTTAATTAGAACTTTGTTAATTTTAACACGGAACAATTGTTCATTCTAAATCTTTTTTCACAATACCAAAATTCACCTCTAATAATGACCAAATTTACCCTCCAAAGGTAAATTTACCCCAGGTTAATAACCTCTGTACCACACAATATTTAAAAAAGAATATCAAATATAATTAGCTCACAATATTCATCTGTATTGCAAAGTCTTTTTGTTGACTTGAAATATATTGGAATGCCTATATCATCCCCATTTTACAGCCATTTATTTTTTTTGTCAGATTAAGAATCTTTTCGTCGTTGACACAGTATTAACAGAAAAAACAAGATCATCAAAAAAGAAATCAATGGATGAATACTCAAAACTCATCAAGAAACGACAAGATAAAATTAAAAAAAGTCGTGAAAAACTTGATGAAATTCTCAATGCTGGCTATCCTAGAAGAATAACCCAAGATATTTCGGTACCAAATTTTTGTAGCTTATAATAATGTTGCCTGAATAAACTTTTTTAGTATACAAGTTGAGATGTTTTACTTTAACATTTTATGGAAAACATAATCATGAATTACTTAAAATATTAAAAATAGCATTGCATCGATAGGAACATGGCTCCAATGTGGTGCTCCCCTTCTGCTATAAATTTACAATATGATTACACATTTTACTAACATGATATCTTATTTTGATTCTTATTTTTTCAATTTGTCCAATAATTAACTCATTGATGTGATTTAGGAATTGAAACTACAGTTTACAAAATGCCTCTATGGCACAACACCATTTGCATTTATGTTCTGTTTGTGATTAGAAATCATAATAAAAAGGTCCAAGACTGCTGATATTTATGCTTTGTAATCCCTTTAAATAACTATGTAGTATTGTTTTACAGCTGGTAAAATTGGAACTAACTATACTTCAAGATCTAAGTAGGCTGTATGTCAAATTAAGGATAAAGTCCTTTTCTTCAATATGTCGTTGCTGCTGACAACTCATGGGTTTCCATAATTATGTAGTCTTATTCAGAGCAAAGACATAGAATATCTTATAAAGATGAAATGAAACAAGTGTGTAACAACATTTGTTTAAAAGGTTCACTTGTCAGATGAATGTTTGCAAAAGCCAATTGAGGACTGTATCAAATTTTACAATGGACTACCTAAGGTGATTTTTTTTCAGGTTTTATCTATCTGTAACTGTGGTCCAGTGAAACACTCCAGAGGCTCAAGGAACCCCTATTCAATAGTTTAATTGTCATTTATTGTCTGATTTGTACAAACTATAAATATGTATGATAGGATTTACATACTTAGGGATATGCTCGCCACCACACCTCTGATTACTGTGCATGGGTTTGCAGTTTCAAATCCCATGCATGGATGGTTATGTGCGAGAGTATTTCTGGACTCCGCACCGCCACAGGGTGATTCATGTAACCGCGGATTGGTTCACCATCAAGTCCATGCTTCCTAAAACAAATAACCAACTAATCTCAGAACCCTGGTTGAAAACCAGTGATTCGTAATATGTAGCCACATGTGGCCCGCCGCTTCATTTTTTGTGGCCCGCGTTGCATTTGCGCGAGTGTAAAAGAAACGCATTCGGTGTTGTTTCGTCATAAAATAACCAGAAAAATCTTTTGACATGTTATTGCATTATTAATGTCACTGATTTGACTAGTGTTATGGCTAGCTGAGGAAACTAGCGGAGTTGAATGATGTGCTTGGCCAAGTCTCAATTGTTAACTGGTTTCTATTTTTTCGGTCGGGAATATATGCTAACAAAATAGGCTTCATAGAAAACTAAGAAACGGATGAGGAATCTATTAGCCTAGGTTGGCTATGCCTGATAACTAAATATTAAAGTAATGGCTGACCAATATAATTCCTGCCGGGTGTTTTTTTCCAACCAGCCTAAACAGTATTACAAAAAATGCTGCCTATATGTCATAAAATTTAGTAATTACCCTCCTGTATCTCAAATTCGATAATCAATTGATCTGCACTTATTTGTTATATTGTGAATATGAGTTTGAAAAGAAAGCTGACCAATTCAAACAGATTTTTGACTGGATATGTGAGGAAGAATACCACAATGCTTACCACAGTGCCTTATGGCACTTTCTCGGTTAAGAAGATTTTGACATCTTATACTAGATGTAGATATAGTAAAATTTTTACACGTTTTAGTGAGTTTTTTGGTGGTTTTGGCATGTTTCAGCTTGATAGATGACAAATAATGACCAATGTGTTTGGACAATAAAAGTGATTGTTTTATATTGCAACGTTTACCTATGCTCGGCACTATTGTGACCCGCGAACAATACAAAAATGATAGTGTGGCTTGCGGGTTGACAACCTTTGACCACCCTGACCTATATATTCCTGTGACCAATTTTGCTACCTCTGTATCATACTGCCTTAATTAATTTTAATTATATTTACCGGTACTTTTATTGATTAATAATATTTAAAATAATTGGACGTTAATTTAGCTAGTTTTGGCTTCCATCTGGTGATTGAAGCAGGTCTAGCCCACCTCTTCGTGCATCCAACTTGGTAATTCTGATCGGGCAATTTGGCATTAGGTGACTCCAATTATAATTAGCTTGACGATATCTTTTGTGGAATATTTTTTATATCCACAGTATATAACTCTTGTTGACTAATTCTGTATCCAATTTGTCAATCGTCATGAAATTATCAATTTGGTGTGGCAAGAGGATTTATTCATTTTTTTGTATATTTTTCTTTTTTACTGAGTACGGTAATTGATTTTATGTCTCTCTTTTTTCACTCCCAACCTTATCATGTCTCGATGATTGTATGTGTGTGTGTGCGTGCGTGCCTTAATTAGTTTTAATTTTTATTGGTAAGCGAACACGTACTACTTTTTATATCAATAGCTTCCCACCTAAAATCTGTACTTATTAAACCTTACTGAGGTTTCGTTTGGTTTCTTGATTCTATCATCAGTTTTCTTTATTTTGTTTTTATAAATTATTTTATCGTCTACTGCTGATTATGGAGTCGAAATAAACTTATGCTCATACTTATAATACTTATATTTATTTAAACTTTAGTATTATTTATTGCTGAATTGATATGCATGATATATGCTATATAATTTTGCATATTTGTAATAAATACTTATTCATTTTTTAAGATCATGGTCTTTAGAGAAAATATTATTAAAAATTGTTTTGATATATAGGAATCACATCAAAGCATTGAAAACACTCTGGAGAGATTTGATGGATTGATGGCACTGTGGAATGAAGGAAGTGAACAGATAGTATCTTATAGAGGAAAACTCAATATCCGAATAAAAGATAAAAAACAATATTTATCCACAAAGAATGAGGAAGTAAAGGTGAAGTGTATTAATATTTTGCCTATTTGCGAGATATAACTCCATACAAATGTTTGATGTGTTATATTTTAAAATAGACAGCCAAATAAAATTTGAATAGTGCCAAATACTGGTGAGATTTCAGAGTGTACAGTGCCTCAAAATGTTTTTGTCCAACTTGTCGCAAGTAGCAAAATTGTCCCGCTTGCCCCACTTCTCCTGCTGTTTCAAGTTGGGGTAAATATATGTTCTGGGGAAAATATTCAAAAGTGAACATATCAAGTTGATTTCATGCTTATGTTTACTGTGAGGATACAAATAATGCATTGGTAGCAGGTTAGAGTATTTATATGCTTAGAGATTCAGGAAGTATAGGACAAGCAGAAAATTAATATTTTCAAGCATACTGTGCAGAACTTGTTAAATTGTCACAAATTCTATCATCATGATTCTATCAATTCTGAAATGTCATGTTATTTAACAGTTAATAACAGAATTTATTGTGTGTGATTCACCCCATTCATCAACACATTTTCTTCCTAACTTTCAAACTTTTTAAAATTGACAGTCTTATTTTGCAATATTGCTGGCGTATAACATAATCGTCTCTAAGCCCCATTGTCCTCCTGACAAGTCATCAGTTCAAACTAGAAATGCATTTTTATGTAATGACCCTTTCACAAATATCTGATGGTAATATATTCTCTGCCAGTGGGTGGGTCACTTAAAATACTGAATATAAACTGTATACTTTATTAACTATCATAGTAAAATCTCATTGCTAAATAAAAATTTTCAACAAAACTTTTTGACAGAAAACCGTTGAATCAGATATAGCTAAATTCGCAATAACTGTAAAAGAACAATATGAAACTACAAAGGATAAGGTAAAATTGAATTAAAATTCTGTGATTGTTGGTTCTATTTTGAACTACTGTCCAATTACCACTAGCTAAAAACACTTCGGAGGCCATTTGGAGTTTCTGCAGTACAAGTTGATAATTTAATGTTTTGTATTTTGAAATGGAGCAATTATGTATACAATAAACTTATAAATTGGTCATGACGCTAGGCATAAGATTCACTCTTTGTTAAAGTTCACTTTAATAATCTATAAAATAATGTTGTGCCATCATTTTTTGACATCCTAATATAATAACAGCGAATCTGTATTTATAGTAGTTACCAATGAATCACAAAATGAAATAAATGATATGATAGTAATGCTTAGTGGAATCGAAAACAAGAGGATTTTGGAAAACCATTAACCTATTAATGTGTGGCTACATGTAACTCATTAAAACAAAATTTGATTATTTGAACTGTCTACTTTTCAAACTTAAAAAGGGGCAAATATGAATCAAAATGAAAGTGACAGATTTAGCTGCACAGACATAGAATTTTCTGATTTACATGTTCATACTATTCTAAACACGTGTTGCGCCCACTAGTTTATCACCTTCAAAAAATGACCCTATTTTACCAATATGCAAAGTAAAAACTGAATGATGGGTTCTTTGTCCCTCTCTACTTTTATGATCAGTTGATTCTTTGTTATAGCCCTGATTTATGACTACGATATCAAATTTTGTCCTCTCCTAAATCAATCTCAGCTTTTGCTCACAATTTATTTCCATAGTGAATACCAGATCAACAGCGTCTTCAACGCCATCGCGAACTCCACATATACATAGACTTACCATACGTCCCGGTTTAGCCGAGACAGTCCCGGTTTTAGCATGTTTTCCCACCGTCCTGGCGATAGACCTAATTGTCCCGGTTTTGCAGTACGCCAGTCATAAATAATTCTCCTATTAGATACTATTACCAAACATTTTTTTATTTAACGGAATCAGCCGATTTACCACTGATGTGCGTCTCACTTCACTAGTTCAGAAAGAGAGAAAAATTGTTATGTCATATTTATGATATGAAGTATGAACCATGCCATCAGTTAATTTAATACCAAACTGTACTGTCAAAATGCCGGAAACAAAGTGCAAGTTTTCTAATGATTTGAATGATTTCCATTATTTGGAGCAAAAACCAATACGGGATATTTCAATAAGATTTACAGCTAATTTTGATGCCCATAATCTGCCCACAATGGTATGGGAAACGTTCAAACTATTACCTAGAGCAGGGGTCGGCAACCCTTTGTTGCTCGCGGGCCAAAATTAAGGGTTGCAACTTGCAAGTTATTGGCGAGCCGCACATATTTCTAGAAAATTGAAAACCGAACGGGTGATACTTTTTATAATAAAAATCAAACAGTGATACATCTCTCGAATAGAATATACGGTAGATTTTATTTTCTCATTGCATTGCACCTCAAAAATTTCCATTTGAAAATTTTCGGCGCCCTTGAACCCTTTGCGCTTAGCATCAACATTTCTGCGTTTAGTTGCCATTTGTTTAATTATAATCAAATGATAGGCTCATTAAGCGAGTAATTGTGAATATTACACCTGTTAGATCAGGGTTTCCCAAACTGGGGAATACAGGGGGTCCGCATCGATATTAAGAGTCTGAAATAATAATTGACTGTATGCGTTATCACGAGAACTTGTGCGACTTTGCCAAGGTCATTTGAGCCCCGTTGCGGCAAGAAAGAAGCGTGAAACCAAGTTAATTGTGTGAGACTATCCAAGAATACACAATTAAATTAGTTCCACGTGTTCAATTAGTACCGACAGTCCGGACATCGAGTTGCAAAAAGATCATAATTTTATCGCATGCCCTTAGCCTACTAATATTTAACATTAGTATGTATGAATTCAGACTTTCATGAGTTCTATTTCGGCCAAACATATTTAAAACTGTATGGAATCGTTGCCATAGAGTCGGGCCTATTAATTTTCTTGTCACAAATTGATTCTTCGCATTAATGTCATTTGTGTCGTTGTGTTCTAAATTCAGATGAAACATTATTTATCCTCGTTGGTTAGGCACATAAATTGATCCGCATTGGATGGGGTTCCGTAAAAAAAATAGGATTCACAAACAGGGGTGGGTCCTCGGCCTAAAAAGTTTGGGAAACACTGTGTTAGATTTTAATATAATTCAGTCTACACGTGTCTCACAATAAATTCTGTTACTCCAAGAATATAATCGTCAAAACAGCTGTTTTGTTACTATAATTCAGTGAAGCGTCGTGGGTCGGATTATAGTACTCCGTGGGCCGTAGGTTGCCGACCCATCACCCAGACCCTAGATCAAACCAACGTTGACTTGTCCAATCCGCGCCGTCCCGTTTTTTTGCTTTACAAATATGGTAAGCCTACATGATATACACATATTAAACCATTTTTAGTGGCGTATATTTCTTTGCCAATATCACAGATTATTCAAACTGGATATGTACTGGAGGATCATCTTCTACAGCATCATAAATCTCTTGCTGAAATTCTGCTAAGTCATTGTCGTGTACGTGCTTTGCCAGTGTATAATGTGGATGAAAATTTCGAATTTTTTGTCAAGTTCAAGAAAGATATTATTGCCGAATTGCAAACAAAGTTTGAAGCCAAACATAAACTGAATGCAGACAATCATAGTTTCTTTACAAAAATTTTACGTTGGTTAAGTAATAAATCCTCTCAAACAGCATGCGAACGCCTTATAAAGGAGATTGAAGGAAAGCAAGAATAAATTAATATAACATACCAGGTAAAATTTATATTATACTTCCAGGATATGTCGCAGTGTCTTTGGCGTGTTAAAAAAATGGCAATCACATTGATTCAGTGGTAATAAATTATGTATGCTAAACTGAATCTGGAAGATCTCATCAAATTCAAAGATTCCTTTTTCACCCATCTCTGTGTTTTTTGTGACTCATTTCAAGCTTCTCAACGATTTGTTTGCTTCATTTTATTTGAAAGAAAAATTTCATTTACTATTGGCCAATTAAAAGAGTAAACCAAACTATGACTTCTGTAAGAGTTTTTCCGTCTCATCTTAGTTAAATTAGTCTTAAGTCAATTCCAGATCAAATTTTCAATTCTCAGTTATCAATTAATATGAAGTTATTGATATCCTTTTCAAAATAATCGATTAATCATGTGTATAGTTACAAATTTTGGCTTGCAGTCATTATTTTTTTGTCTTGCGTTTTTAAATTATTTCTGCATTGATCACTATGGAGAGATTAATCATCATGAATATATTTTGGTGGTGTTTATTGGCTTGAGTGGCCAGCACAAAGAATGATGTGAATTTGCCATGTAAATATTTTCAATGCATCTACACTGATTATATACCTACAAGATAATATAACATTTGTGTCAGGTTTGTGATTGTAACTATTCAGCATGTGTTAGAATCAGCCTTTTTCATATTCAGTTTTCTCAGTAGAAATTTATAACCAAGGATATGTTTTTCGGTTAAGCGGTAGCGAATGTAGAATGTAACTATGGATTTTAATGTTATTTACCCACTTTGTATTAATAGTGTGTTCAAATTCAATGAAAATAGGTCATTTCACCAATTTCCCTGATGGTGATTTATCTTAGCAAAGGCTGCACTCTGTATGCTTCTTTGTATAAACGAATTTGTGACGTGTTTTCGGCCACCATTCGAGAGTTGAGAATTTAATGTTTCTCGTGTTTTTGAGTTGCATACTCATTTGGATTGCAACCCTGTAACTGGTATTAAGATTTAAGTTTATATTTCAATATATCTGTTTGGATTCAGTTCAATCGTGCAGCTTTACAATATATGAACATTGGCATAGCAATAAATTGTGTGCTTCATTGACCTCTGTACGACTCAGTTGGGGTTTACTTCACTTACGCATTTTGCTGCTCTTTCGTTTTCAATATGGGATTGCAAACGAGGCTTCAAAAAAGTTAGCCTATTTCTTTGCTTCGTTTTACTTACAAGACAGCTCTGTGACATCACAATGGGAAATCGTGAAATACCGTAGTAAGTGAAGAATCAGTGTCTTTGGCAGTGATTGCGAAGCAGCAAAAGGCGACAAATGTGTATTTGAAATTTAATCACTTAATTTTTGTATTATCAAGCTATGAGCCATATACCAGATTTCTTTCGCGGACCCTCCGAAGTGCTTCACGAACCCCAAAAGGTCCGTGGATCCCACTTTTGGAACCACTGATCTAAACCGGTAATTGTTCCAAATGCATGATTGGCCATGTTTTCCCATCCCCATATAGGCTACAGATTACCAAAGCAATTTTCAGTGAGAGACCAGAAATACAGGAAAAAAACACTATTTGAATGGATGAATAATGGATCAGGCCTCACAAACTACGTTTTATGACACCTTAGTATGCGTCTTGAAGCGCGATGGTGTTTTTTTTCTAGTTAACTTGAAACTAGGTATTGACAGTTCAATAAATAGTACGTGTTTATGGAGACGAAATGGATTAATGCTTTTTACAATCTTCTCCGAGTTCTGTGGGCGTGATATTTATTTTTGCTGGACACGAAATGTACATATGGATCGTTTTGTTATTATTTTGTTTTTATTCTTGTTGTAAGTATTTTTCTACTAAAAAAAAATCGGTTTTCATTTAAATTACTGCACGAATTGCTTCGAAATTATCGGTACTAAAGATTGTATTTTTCGATAAAAGGCTATTACTTTTGGTAGCTTGCATACCCGTGGCCGTGTATACTTCATCAGACTGGTTTACTGATATCCTTAGCAAACAAGAGGTTACCCATGATATTGTGGCTGAATCGTAGATTATCCATTCAATCTTCGCTTCCATAAGCTTACCTACTGCCGAATTTACTATAAGACAAGGTAGGCTGAAGTCAAGGGGTAATGGTATTCAAATTTGAGCTAGTATTCATTTTTAAGTCGTTTTCAAGTTTGAAGGCTTGTTCCAGAATAGAAACGGTTTGAAAATTTATAAAATTGATATTTGTTTGATTTTTAATCTGGTTAATATTTGTTGCCCACAATAATTCTCATCTATACTAATTTATCTACGATACTGGTAAGCAACAACGAGTCTGAGATCTGTTAACTATTTTCGATCCTTTTTTTTTATCTTAGACCCGTTTATTTAAATATTCTTCGTAAGCATTCACAATAATTTTTGAAGGAAGCCTGAATTAGGTTATGGTGTATGGTGCCTTTCTGATTAAATTTTAAATGAATACTTGCTGAGAAAACTTTGATATATATCCTGCTTGCCTCACACTTGTCCTGTTCGACCTATACTGTTCCTGCTTTTTCTACACCTATCCCAATAGCCCCCCACTTGTAATGCTTGTCTTATACCTTCCCGCTTGTCCAACACTTATTCTACTTGAATCACACACGTACTGATTGAATGAAACTTGTATTTCATGACTCACGATTTCTCTGTTTCCCCGCGGCAACATTGTTCCTAAAAACAACTAACACATCAAGAACTTTGTTTACTTATTTATTAATTCCACTTATCCGTTATTTTTTTGAGAATTCATTCTGATCAAACTTTGTTTACAAAGTTTGCATCGTTGGTTTCTACTTTTGAAAGCTGCTACTTGAATATACATACCTTTATAGAAAGCCTATGTGCTACTTGTACCACATTTGTCCTGCCTATTTAACACAACAGCTTAGCTAACACTTTTCCTGATTGTCCCGCTTGTTTCACACCTTTTTGGCTGATCTCACACACCTCCGGATTGAATAAAACCTGTCTTGCTTGTTTCACAATTGCTCTGCTTGTCCACATATGTCTCGGTTTCACCACACTTTTATTGCTTGTCATGCCTATTTAAATCATGTCCTGCTTGAATCACACTTGCTCTGCTTGCCCCACATTCAACTTGCTTTACCACACCACACCTGTATTGCGTGTCCCATGCTACTACTGTTTGTAACAGTAGTGCCTGTCCCACACTTTCCCTGCTAGCAATACACTGGTCCAGTAAGACCCATACTTCCAGATCTTCCAAAACTCATCCTAATAGTCCCAAACTTGTAATGCTTGTCTTCTACTTTGCCGCTCGTCCCACACTCATTCTACTTGGCTCACACACGTACTGATTGAATAAAACTTTTCTTGCTTGTCCCGCTGCTTGTTCTTGAACCCAATTAAAACATCACAAATGTGGTTTACTTATCTATTAATTCCCCATATCCCTCATTTTTTAGGAATTTCCTCTGGTTAAACTTCGTTTAAATATTACGTATCGTCGGTTTCTACTTTTGAAAGCTGCTACTAACTACTTGAATATACATAGCCTTATAGAAAACGCGTTTGACGTCTAGGCACACACCACCTGGATTACACCCGTTCTGGGCGGATCTCAGAAGCTAGGCAACGTCGACTTAGGTTAGAACTTGCCTGGGTGACTGGCTAGGAATACAGACTGTCTCAGGCTTTTCTTATTTGCATACCATAATAATAATTTGAGTCATTTGATTTTACTTAAATCATTTGTTTATTTGGTCAACATTCACGAACATTATTAAAGAAAGACTGAATTTGGTTAGAGCATGACGCCTTCCTGATTAAATTATAAATAAATACTTGTTAGGGATACCGTGATATCCGGCTTGACTCACACTTGTCCTGCTCGTATCAGAATTGTCTCACTTGTCCCACATTTGTCCTGCTTATCTAACACTAGTCAGGCTAAGGATAACAGTTTTTGTAATTGTCCAATACATGTGCTACTCGCACCACACATGTCCTGTTTGTCTCATACTTGTCCTGCTTTTCCAATACCTATTCCGATAGTTCCATACTTCTTATGCTTGTCCTATACTAGAGTGCTTGCCTCACACTTATTCTGGTTGTATCTTTTTTGTCCACCTTCACACATGCCTGATTACATTAAACTCATCGTGCTTATCTCACACTTGTTCTGCTAGCAACCCACTAGTGCTGTTTGGCCCATGCTTGCCCTGCTTTTCCCACATTTGTAAGGCATGTGTCACACACGTACTGATTGTCTTCTTGAATAAAATATAAATAAATACTTGTTAGGGGCACCATGATAACCTGCTAGACTCACACTTGTTCTGCTTGTTTCAGAGTTGTCATTTTTAACCTGCTTAAATACCAATTGCCAGGCTCAGATATCTTTTTCTGTTGTTTCACGCATGTGCTGTTTGCGTCAAACTTGTCCTGCTTTTCCCACACTTAACCCATACTTGTAATGCTTGTCTTATACTAACCCGACTGTCCAAAACCTATTGTGTTTGTCTTACACACGTCCTAATTGAATAAAACTCATAGTACTTGTCTCGCACTTTTTCTGCTGGTAACGCACATCTTGTTTGACCGCAGTCCCACACTTGTGATGCTTGTTTTATGATAGCTTGCCTGTCCCCACACGTATTCTTCTTGTCTTACACTTGTCAGGCTTGTCTCACTCACATACTGATTTAATCAAACTTGTCTTGCTTGTCTCTCAATTTCTCTGCTTGTCACTCACTCCCTTTTAAAGCTCGTCTTATACTTCTCCGCTTGTACCACACCTATTCTACGTAACTCACACACGCACTAGTTGAATAAAACTTGTTTTGCTTGTTTCACAATTTCTCTTATTGTCCCCATGTAACATTTTTCTTAAACCCGACGTAAATATCGGAAATGTGGTTTACTTATTTATTAATTCCACTTATGCTTTATTTTGGGGGAATTCCTTCGGTTAAACCAGGGGTGGCCAACCTATGGCGCATGCGCCAAACGTGGCGCATTGCATGATTAGAGGTGGCGCATTGCATCTTTAACAGGAAAATAAATGAAGGTTAAATATTGATACTAAAGGCCTGTTGTCACAATATTACGCCTGACTTTACTTCTTAATCGTACCTTTTTCTCTTCGTTGTTAAAAACAGCTTTATTGCGTAATGCTCATAAGACAGAATGCGTTTTTCTCCTACTTTCAGGAAGGCTGTAGTTTTTACTTGAAGCATGGCGTCACAATGGTTCCCTGTTTCGTAATCAATCGTAATCTGTTTATCGTAAATTGCTCGAATTATTGCGTGGATACGAGAATTTTCGTTGAGTTAACTATATATATGCGGCTGTCATTGAAATTTATTCATTCAGTGTTTAATTCAGTGATTCGGTAATTCTCTAAATGAGTGGTTTTCTGTAAACTTAATTGGTAAAGTTTCTTCTTGTGTGTGTAAAGGCGTGTATTAAGGTTGATTTTTGTTTATAAACATTTGCAGTTGTGTACTTTTCAGGATTTAAGCATTAAGCTTTGCTTTTATATATTTTGTAATTTGTTACCTAACACAGTGCGAAAGAAAATGAACAAAAGAAAGGCGGAAACTGATAGTAAGCTTGAATTTAATGAACAATGGGAAAATGAGTTGTTATTTATTGCAGGTCCGTCAAGAAAACCGTTGTGCATTGTTTATGAAAAAACTCTTTCACAAAATAGAACTCCAAGAATAAAAAAACTGGCGAAAGTAAAACAGCAGCAAAAGTCTCATAAAGGTGGTACTCAAATAAAATTGATCAGTTTTATTTATTATACTTCCTTGCTTAATTTCTATTCCTGTGAAGTTGTAAATTGTAAAAACTACATATACGTGTGTATATATGTGTGTGTATTATAAATTTATATAATTTCAACAAGAAGCGTGGGAATACAAGAGATTTACGGCGCATCTGAAACATGATGTTTAAAACGTAGCGCATGGTATGTGAAAGGTTGGCCACCCCTGGGTTAAACTTTGTTTATAAAGTTACGCATCGTCGGTTTCTACTTTTAAAAGTTGCTACTTGAATATACATAGCCCTATAGACAGCG